TCCTCATTTTGATTGGAGGATCAGTCTGGGTCCTCATTTTGATTGGAGGATCAGTCTGGGTCCTCATTTTGATTGGAGAATGAGTTAACCCTGTTTCCCTGGCATCACTTTCACATCTACATACTGGGTCATTTTGATATGAACCAAAAAATATAGAATGGGGTCATTTTCTAATCATTTTCTAAAACTTCAGCAGATTGGGTACAAACCCATCCTGAGATGGGTTTTACAGAGTTAGGTATTAGTAGTCTATGTTCCATGAGAAACTTCCATGTTCAAAAACTAGATAGCAGATAAGAAATCAGAAATGGAAAAGTCTTAAAATTTCCCTAACAAAATTATCAGAGACAAAATATACACTCTGTATGTGCGTGCGTGCGTGCGTGTCCCTCTGTCTCCTTCCCCTCTCATAGGACCATCATTTAATTCTATACTTTTTAAAGCCAAGGAAAATTCTCGTTCTGATTTTATACATCCATCTCCTGTCTCTTTGCTCTTGACATTGACCTGTTGAAGTTCGACCCATTTTACCAAATGGACACGCATCCTCTACTTGAAATAAGATAGAAGGTTTGGGGTTCTAATAACACAATAGTCACTGCCATTCACCAAGCTCTTGACCTATGATGGGAACCCTTACAATGGCTTTATGAAAACTGTCATCATTCAACCTTTATTCTGACCATTTAAATGGCACATCTGTCCTTTTACAGCTCAGATACAGGAACTAACAGGAATTTAATTGAAAAAGCTACTCAACTTAGTGAAGTATCAAGTTGGGGACTAAAAGGAACTGGAGTAATATTTAGTCTTAGAAACTGGATCTACAAAATGCATGGCTCCTATTTCAACAGTTATTTGGATGTCATGGGGATCATTTAGCCCTAGAGGAAAAGTATTCTTTTATTGTTTTTAACATTGTATTGCAAACATAATAGCAAGGAAAGTTCAACAAACTTGCTAAATACATAGCTGGTATCAGAGCAAGAATTCTAAGCCCAAGTTGATATTTGTAACTAAACACAGTACACAGACCCTGTGGTATTTAATGAATGTGATTCTAAAGAGTTCATTTGAAGCCTGCTGAGGAAAAGCATCACTATCTTACTTATTATCTTACTGTTGATCTGTCTTATGGACAAACAGAAACTATACTGGTGTCAGTAAAACAGTTTGATGGCAAGGAATGTGGTCTAATATTAAAATTATTTATTAGGGAAAGTTGCTAGCTCACATACAGCCATTCATATTAGGTCTCCCTATTTCTATTTAAATAAATTACTCTTGAGGGTTCTTACTCACTCAGCATCTCAGGCCCAAAGTGGCCAAGGGAATTTTGTTGGAAGTAAATCTCCATAATTAAATGTGGACAAAAATCACTAGTAATCCTCGAAGAAGGAAGACAAAAATTCCTCACCAAAACCACTGTGTTCAGTATCCTTAGATTCACTTTTGAGATCTTCTCAGCAAACCATCCTCTTGTATTTCACAGGTGTCGAAAGAGCCCTGGAGCAGGGATGTCTTCACCCTTTGTCTAAAGCGTGAAATAAATAAACAACCTACTTGTGCATCAGACCATTGGCATTTTAATAGGGGCACTTACTCAGACCATGCATTCACAGAGTCCTGACATTTCAGTCCCCTCCTGCCTTCTATTGCCTTTCAGAAGCAATGGACTCAAGAAAACTCACACACACTAAACTAAACTAAACCAAACTAAACTAAACTAAATATAAAGAACTGAAAACTAAATATATTCCCATCATCTCCTTTTTACTTCTTTTGAACCTCGGGATATATGGAATTACAAGGTCAAATGAGAATATTTCTATTACTTGTCACTAGCTAGTATCTGCTCACCTGCTCTCTCCTATTTGCATAAAAACTGATGACAAGATATCCTTTAATTTGTCTTCCTGATATATGTGTTACTTCTGTATGTTTTGTACTGCTCAGGGGACATAATGACATCTTCCCAGACTATCTACCCTGGAATGCGTGGCACCATCCCAAATCCTTACCCACCAACAAGTTCCATGGCTCTTCATCCTCAACAACCTCTGGGTTTTTTAAATGTAAGAAACCAAGTACAGACTGGGCAGGTTTCCTTCATTACATCTCCAGGAATCTTCCCTAACAATCAGCTGGGTCGAGATGTGCCAACGGTAAATCCAGCTCCAGGAGCAGCAACAAGCAACGTTAAAGATGCAGCAATAGCACTTGGGGTGAGTGTATTTGCCACTAGAATTTTGAGATTGCATTTGCAAGGCTTTTATGCATCTGCCAGTTATAAATAGTATATCATCCAATGAGCAAACACATGTAAGTACTATTCTGTTAACTGTGTCTCTCTCTCAGAAAGAAATGGTCATTCTGTGTATGAGTCACACTAGGTCAATTTATTTTAGATTCAGACACAAGTCTAAGCATTGACAGAAGGCTCTCCCTAGCAGGAAGATCCAGGAATGGTAACATGATAAGAGCCCAACTACTTCTTGCTTGATCTCACTACCTCTGCAAGTCCTTTTAGACAACAGTTATTAATCTATATTTCTATAAAGAGGAATTAACTTTAAAGTAAACATTGATAACTGTTTTAAAGGGAATGGAGCTACAAGGAAACAGTCTGAGGAAATCAAAGCGTAAAAAAAATCCTTGGAAATGTTATGTCTTTGTTGCTTTGCTTAACAAAAGTTAATTTGAGCTGGACATCCACAGTCTCGTTTCTCTAAGCATTGTAAGCACACATGACTTGTACTAAAGATTCAACATGCTTAAACAGAACTGATTGTTATTAGTTAAGCTTTCCCGTGCCACGCCTCTTCACACACTTCCACCAAACTGTATCATGCCTCTTCCTGTGTACAGCTCCAAAATATTGGCTACAGATGTCAGTAGACCCATCTTACCAGCTAGCGCTTTGGGTAGTCTAGTTAAGTCACAGTGTTTCAAGCAAGTAAAAATGAACAGTACCCAACCCTCCATTCAAGCAGCCAATCTACACTGGGAAGGTAGCTCCCTGGATCTTCTCCTGCCAAGTGGAGTACATTCCCTGCAAACTCATAGCTCACAAAGAAAACCCCACACAGCTGCTGAAAATATCTTGAAGCACAAGCCAGGCACAGTCTCTGTCTGCAGGGAGCCTATGGACCAGCTAGGGAAATCAGACAGTACACATAAGGATGCAAGCTAAAGAATATGTTGGAAGGTGATACTGAGTGAGGTGACCCAGGCTTAGAAAGGCAACAATCTTCTGTTATCTCTCATATGCACATCCTGCCTTTTACTGTTTGTTTGTGTGTGTGTGTGTGTGTGTGTGTGTGTGTGTGTGTGTGTGTGTGTGTG